ATTTTAAATTATTGTTTATACACGATTTATATATCGATTTCGAAATCTTTAGGTGTACGTGTGCGTTTATTCTTATCAATATAACATTTTTATTCAAATTATTTATATTATTACTAACTGACGTCAGTGTGAGCGTCCGCAGTTATTAAATTAAATGAGACATAAACCAAAAGTAATTCTGGCAGTAGCAACAAGTCTTACTTGTTGAATTTGATAATTAACACTAATTAGTCGATAGCATGTATTTGGTGTGACACGGTAACATCTTCGAAAAATAATAGATTACAGACGTCTGAAAAAGACGTTTTCAATTATGAAAAGTATGCTAAACTCATAAATAGAAAGTAGAGTAAGTGATTACTGTGGTAGTCATCCAAGTTGACTAAGAGTCTACTAACTTCTTAATTAAAATGAATAATACAACACCTATCTGCTATTTTTGCAGACAATTGTTTCTTATGTTAACGTAAATATAGTAATTTTGAACCCATCACAATGCCACTTGATTGACAGCTCACTTGTTTTTTCCAGTTAAAGTTTAGTCGTTCAAATAATAAATATAATTTTAATATGCAGACAAGTTAAAAATGAAAATGATAATTTAAGTAACTATAAATTGCAAAGCTATGTTACGATTGATTAAAAAATCAATCAAGTTATGTTAGAAACCTGTCAGAATGGACTATATTTGAAACATTGAACATTTTATACAGATGTGTTCTATAGAATTTCTTCAGAAAATATTTTGCCGTTTTTAACGTAGCTAACAGCACTTATATATCAGCTAACAGCACTTATAAGCCAGGTAACAGCACTTATATGCCAGCCAACAGTACTTATATACTAGTTAACAGCATTTACATGCCTGAAAAAGAAAGTTTTTAGACTGTCAATGATGATTTCAATTAATAATATGTTCCGGTATGTGTTAGGTATACTATATTTAAAACTTTTGAATTCTCTTGGCCAATGAAGGTCATGCTTAAACACCTATAGGTCCAGAATTTTTGGTGTTAGCTCTATAACATTTCATCATTGATTCAATGCTTTGTTTAGTTTTTGCACAAAGTAAGTTGGTAACGGAAAGCCTTTGAAAGATTCTGACAATAAGCTGACGAAATTTCTCATACAATTAAAGAGGAAGGACCTCAGATTAATGGTACCAATCTGTGTTGTGTCCTGATCATTATAGGGTACATAATAAGCAACTTGCGATGTAACGGAAAGATTTGCAGAAGCATCCGACAATCAACGATTTCTTATGCATTTAAAAGAAAGTACCTTATAGTCATAAAGATGTAGGTTGGCACCATATAGTCAATATGAGTATTATAAATAATCCAATATATAAATCATATTTCGAAGATGTCAACAACTCAGAACACTTCGTGTGTTATTCTCCAGTGTCCAGCAAGAACTAAAATGATATATTTGAGTTAAGACATCTTGAGCATGAATGATGTTAATGTGGTCTCTCTAATCGATCTACTTAAATTGTTTTAGGAAGCTAAGAAATTAGATTTGAGATAGTATAAACTGTTTTTAGTACTTAACAATTCTATTGGTTTCGAGCACAATGGTCAACTGATTTAGTGGTTTGGTTTTATTCTGTCCTACGCTTAAGATAAAAAAATTTATTAAATGTTACCACTGTTAATTCTTTTCATATTTATATGTTTAATGTAGTTTTAAACTATGTGTTTAAGAACTATTTCCTTGTTTATCTAAAGAATAACCTGGTTCGTTGCCGATATCTGCTTCTGCTCTTACCTTACCTTATGTCTAGCTATTAGATCAAAAAAATTCCATTGATCTCATGTTTTTAAGTTATATTGCTTGTATAATAATTATTATCTGGCTATTTTATATGTATATAATTATTTAATAATTCAATAAATTTAATAATTTAATAAATCATTATTTTATTATTTAAAAATAATAAAAAATTCTGTTGTTGCATTTTAACTGCTGTTCGATAAGAACCTCTCCATTGAAAACAATATTTTATATTAAGCATTTAGTATTAAAACGGACGTTAAAAATCAATTTAATGTAGTATTATTTTTAATTTTAAAATATTTCAATAAATCAAATATTATGGCTCATAATTCTTTTTTATCTTCTTTACTAAGCAATTATTTTGTATTTAATTTTTAAAATTTCCGCAATCAAAATTTCTTATCTTGTGGCATAATATAAATAATTTCGTATACTGAATTCAACGATTTTGATTTGCTTTGTAATTAATTTTGATATTAGTTTGAGATAAATTTGATCAATTGCATTTGTTTATGGAATATTATATATTAATCATAATTTTAAATTTATCTTATTTTCACATAAATGTATGTTTGGCCATTTGTGTAGCTATCAAGATTGAATGTACAAGCAGCGGATGGTTTTACTCTCATTGGAACACTTATCTATGACAATTAATGATGGTGACAATTCATTGTAGTTTCGTAATTCGTAAGAACAACAAATCAATTATCTTTCCAAAAAGATGACAGAACAATACGAGTTATAACAATAATATTCAAGCTTCTTTTAAAAAACTACTTGCATTTAATAAACATCCACAAAAACTTCTTGTTTATCTTATAAATAGGTTAATAGAAACTAGATAGATCCGTTTTTAGCTACCGTAAATTCAACATATTCGCTTAACTTTTTTTTGTTTGAAAAATATTATAGTGAAGAAGTGCGGAGTCTGATTTTTTTTCGATTTTTGTGGCTAAAACATATATAAATCAATTTATTGAAATCATTATCATCATCATCCGTGACTATACAGTCCATGTAGGACCTAAGCCTGTTTAACAACATCCTTCCATTCTTCTCTGTTTTTTGCTGTTGTTTTCCAATTTCTTCTAAATCCTACTGCACATTCTCTTTTCATCGTTTTCTTGGTCGCAGTCTTCTTCTGCTGGTTCCACTTTCGTTGTCATAAATCTTACGCGATAGGCTCATATCCGACATTCTTATCATATCTTACTTTTTCATAAATTTGTTGATTGTATTACCTTTAACTAGCCGTTCTAGCTCGTGGTTGTACCTTATGCGATAATCCCGTACCCATAATACTATATACTTCATTTACAAAATATTGATATGTAATAATTCAGATGTCTAATAGGTACAAAAATACTCTTTCCTCTTTTTTGTTTAGTTGCATAAATAAAAAATATACGACTACATCTATAACACTATTTACTTTTAATAGCACTTGTTTCTACAGAAACTACTACTCTTGTCATTCTCATCTTCCTGTTGAGTCCTAGTATTCATACTTTAAAAACTATTTTCTTTTATATCATATAATTTAAAAACATTAAAGCTAAAAAAAACATTACATTAAAAACATTACAGAATTATCCGCGTCGGTGGCACGGAGATACGGTGGGAGGAAAGGATAAAATATCTAGGGGTCACTTTTGACAAACGGCTTAATTGGTATAAACATATGAAATGCAAACGGAATAGTTGCTCTAAAATTCTACATCTCCTTAAGCCGCTGTTTAATAATAATCGCTTCAACCTCAAAAATAGAAAGTTATTATTTACTCAAATAATTAGGCCAGCACTACTGTACGGATGTGTAACTTACAGCAAAGCCTCAAATACTGCTATAAAGCAATTACAGATAGCACAAAATCTGGCTTTAAGAAGACTAATTACGATTTCTTGGTATATTAGAACAACAAACATGCATAGGAATCGACTCAGTGAAAAAGTATATCAAGGACAGAGCCCTAAAATTATTCACAAAAGTTGATACGTTGCCCAACCCCGCTCTAACAAACCTTAAGTCCACCTCAGGACGATCTACGGTCCGTCATTAGTTAGAAAATAAATAAATGATAATGTTTTTAGTATAGCTAAAGTTTAGTGTGGGGCAGGGATAAGCCCTCCAGTCACAATAGAGTAAAAGTGCGCAATAGCACTAACTCAAATCATAATAATAACAACAACAACAATTTCATGCAGAATTTTTTTACGAATATATATTTTTTTAATGCTGTTAACTGGCACTTTTTGTTGTATTATTTTTTCTAAACCTTTTCAATAAAGGCTCACATATGTGCCTAATGAGCTACGGCTCCTTTAGAATTGGACTACCACTGGTATCTATTAATATATAGCTACAATAGTTGTAATATAATTTAATAATATAATATATCTATTATATACATAATAACATATATAGTTTTTGTGATACATGTATATAAATATATATCAAAATATATCTATAAACACTATATCTGTTATACATATTCTATTGTTTTTGCCACTATGGCACTAGTTTTTTTTTTTAAATATATGAGTACATTTCAACTAAAGTTGATCAGAGACTGAGATATGCACAAGTGAAGTGAAGGGGTTTACTTCGTTATTAATTTTTTGCAAAAGTATTTTATTGAAACAGACACTTTCAATATCGGATTTAATTATTTTGGTTAATTATTTTTTTTAGTATAGTATGATAATAACGTAAGGTTTACGGTATAGATAAATGAATCTCATTTATAAGCAGATACAGATATATTACTTTTATATATAAATTGTTTATTGGTTATTATTTTAATTATAATTATTATGGTTGTTAATTATAATTATTATTGCTTTTGACTGATTTTTTCTATAGACAACGCATCAGCTTTAAGTTGCTTTTTTAAGAAATTTTTGGAGCGAAAAATGTTCAAAAAGTTTTGGTGAATTGCAAATAAGCATATAGCTATCTATATGTTTCTTGTAGTAGCTTGTAGTATTCAATTTTTAGAGAAATGTTTTTTGTGACTGAGACCATACCAAGAAGTTATCTTCGTTACTGTGAAACATTGATTGTCATTCACCTACAAACAGGTAGTTAATAGTTCTCGAAAAATGGTGTGGTTCAAATTATAGTCAAATTACCCTCCCAAAATTGTATTTAACTAATAATGGTTGTTAATATTACTAATATAATTTAATTATTTCTATAAAATATTATAAATTATTAAGATGAGATTATTAAAACATTATATTAATAGCAATAATCTCTTTCAGAATGAAGTCGCCGCTGCCTTAGCAGAATCGGACATACCAATTTTCGCATGGCGTGGTGAAACCGAAGAAGATTTCTGGTGGTGCATTGATCGTTGTGTGAATGCTGAAAGTTGGCAACCAAATATGATACTTGATGACGGAGGTGATGCTACCCATTTGATGCTTAAAAAATATCCAGCAATGTTTAAACTTGTCAAGGGTATTGTGGAGGAGAGTGTAACAGGTGTACATCGTCTGTATCAATTGTCGAAAGCTGGCAAATTGACTGTGCCTGCAATGAATGTGAATGATTCTGTAACAAAAACCAAATTCGATAATCTTTATAGTTGCAAAGAATCTATATTGGACAGCTTAAAACGTTCAACCGATGTTATGTTTGGCGGCAAACAGGTTGTTGTATGCGGGTACGGTGATGTTGGCAAAGGTTGTGCACAAGCTTTAAAAGGACAAGGTTGTATAGTGTATATAACAGAAATCGATCCAATATGTGCACTACAAGCAAGTATGGATGGTTTCCGTGTTGTGAAATTGAATGAAGTAATACGTAATGTGGATATTGTGGTCACAGCAACAGGCAATAAAAATGTAGTTGTACGTGAACATATGGATAAAATGAAGAGTGGCTGTATTATATGCAATATGGGACATTCAAATACCGAAATTGATGTGAACGGTTTGCGTACACCCGACTTAACATGGGAAAAAGTACGTTCACAAGTTGATCATATTATATGGCCAGAAGGTAAGTATATTATTTTACTGGCTGAGGGACGTTTGGTCAATTTGTCGTGCTCCAGCATACCATCATTTGCTGTGTCAATTACTTCCGCTACACAAGCTTTAGCTTTAATAGAACTTTTCAATGCACCTCCTGGCCGTTACAAATCAGACGTTTATTTGTTACCGAAAAAAATGGATGAGTATGTGGCAAGCTTACATTTGCCCACATTTGACGCACACTTAACTGAGCTCAGTGACGAGCAGGCAAAATATATGGGCCTTAATAAAGCAGGTCCTTTTAAGCCCAACTATTATAGATACTAAGCGGTAGATGTGTGCGTATACTGCCAACGAAAGTATTGCTAATGCTTCAGTGACGAAGAAAAGCTACAATAATTATTTATAAAAGGTATAAAAAATATATATTTAAAAACAAAAACAAAAAAAAAATATATTAAAAACAAAACACGAACACAAAAAACCTAAATGTTGTATATGTTTAGTTGATATAAGTTAGAAATGTTGAAGGATATGACAAATTGTGACCAATCAATTTGTGAGGTTTAAGTTACTATGAAAAAGAATATGAAACTTTATGTGAGAAGAATGTAGAAAATGTTTTACACAAACAAAAAAAAAAAAACAAAAAAGCAAACACTTATCAAAATTATTAAATAACAATGAATCCGTATCTTTGCCGTTAATAGAATTTATTTTTTACATGTTTCTTGATATGTTTTATATATACGCCTATTTATGTTAAAAGTGGGTTTCTGGTTTCAAGTATATTATAGCTTATCATTTGCTTCTAATCTAAATTTTGATTTTTAGATAGTTACAGTTTTATATATAAAGTAGCGTTAAAAATAATATTCGAACTATTATTTGATTATACTTGAGCTCAAAGGTTAAGTTTTAAATATCGTGACGTTCGATTAAGCTTGAGCTATTGGTTCAATAAAACACTTCAAGATTCCGAACATCACTGAACACTCTAAAAGTTAAAATAATTTGAAAAATTTAAAAGTTATATTTAAGACTTCTAATGTTCGAATAACTCGCTTACTTCAAATGTTCGAATAACTCAAACACTGCTTTGTGTTTGGTGTCATTGAAATACTTGACCTGCTAGTCTTTGAGCTCAGCACAGCTTAATCTAATTAAAGTATAACAAGCCACAAATATCTATAACTGCTAATAAAAATAGAATCCACAGAGTATATTACGCTGTAATAATTAGTTCAATCATATCCATATTTACCATACTAAAGTATTTGAGAATATTAAATATGCTACTAATATATATTTCATACCAGCTCTCTTATAAGTAGTACTTTACAGATATAAACACATATTAATAGTGTTCAATTTTTATTTTAGGAGCCTGAGAATTGAATCTGAATTAATAGAGATAACTGTTACTATATATTCCATATAATGCCATCCAAAACATCTATTTATATATCCCACCAAGTTTCAAGAAAAATAAAATTTTAATAATTAAAAAATATTTATTTATTTTAATTAAATAAAAACATGAACTTTATATTTTCCTATAAATATTTTCCTATATATCACAACATACATTAATAAATATTACACTATTTTGAGCTCTTAAGTATTTGATCTATAAGTATTATGGTAATCGTTTTTGACATATCTCGATCTGTCTTTAACAGTGCTGTGCATCTTATAAATTCCAGAAGTGATTTGATTCAATGATTCGATAATGTGAACTATTAGATCAACCACAAACGTTAGGTTCGTGATTACACTAAAAACTTGTAGGCCCCGGCTTAAAACTAGTTCAATTTACAACTCTGGTTTTTACGTATACCTCAATAAATTCCTCTAATATATAATATTTTAATGCTATATGTGCTATCGTATATATTGTTTAGAATTATATGATATGAGTTGATGTAACTAATATATTATAAAATACATATTTAATTAATTTATTATTTGTCTTTATATCTACAGAT